CAAATCTCAACACAGGAAACCCAAAGCACTTTATTGATTTATTTATTCATGTACAGATTCCAAAGCCGGGCTCCCTGTGTTAAAGCCACATGAATCTGTGTATGCAGCAGTTATAAAAGGGTGACTTCTCTTAAACCGAAAAATACCCCTAATTGCAATAACGTTGTCACTGAAATATATAAAATCAGCAAAATAACTAAAAGACCCATTCTCGTACCCAAAAGCCTTCTCAGCTTTCTAACGAAAAGTCGAAGGCTCTGGTAACATACAAATCGACCGTTAATTTGATTGGTTTAAATCTTTTGCATAATCACCTGTTTCTGGTTAGCTATTTTTATAGTTGACGGTTGAAATTGGAATACTTTACCGTATCCACCAGAGGGTCTCGCTAAATTTTTTCCCCCCAGAATATTACAGCTATTCTCAATCACACGCTCCCTCAAGCGATCGTTTCTGTTGCGACGAAGGAGGTTTTGGTGGACGTCATATAAGTGTGGACTTGAAGCCTTCGCGTTACGTGAAATCTCATTACAATTTTGCACAAAATATGCAACTTCGATTTGATCCCATCGTCAGATTCTAAAAAATAATAAAAAAATAAAAAAATAAAAAAAATAGGTATAACCGAGTTCTTAAAAAAAACGAAATAAAAAATGCGGTGCCCGACTTCGTTTTAGAGCTATAAGAAATTAGTGACGTTTTTATGAGATTTTGCTTATCTGCAAAACATGGCTCACAAATCAATTGGTACGATTTCTTTCCAATGCTATTTCCATTGCTCCAAAGTGATTTACCAGCAGCTTTAGATGAAATTTAATAGAAACTCGAAACTTTTCCAAGACTGAAATGTTTTGTTTTTGCGATTAAATACAAATACGGTTAAGACATTATTATTATTATTGTTCAAAACCGAAAATGCTCTCTCATTTTCTTCAGAATTTTCTGAATTTTGAGCAAAGTACTCATCCTCCAAGATTTTTAAGGCAAAGCCAGAAGCAGTTTTTATATTAATTCCGATTTCAGTAAAAACATGCTCTTTCGCAAATTTCCAATATATACACTCAACAAAATTACAGTCGATTCTGATTGGACAAGAGGAGTACAATTAAATCCCAAATTGTACTCTGTATAGAGTCCCAAATAAGTTTGCTCAACTGTTCAGTGTATCATAAACAAAAAGTCGCACAATCTTCTCGTACAATTCGGAATTGTGTAGATACTCGTGATGTTTCGAAAGTTCTCAAATTGAACTCAGCTAAAGGCTCAAAATTTCAAAAATTACCCATAAATTCCAAATTGTACTCGAGATCCAATACAAATTAATTGATCGCGTCCGCGCGGCGCAATAGCGATTTGAAGAAAAAAACAATCGAGCTACCATTATGTAACCGTGGTTTCAACGCGTTGCTTCTTTTCTTATTGCTCTCTGGCTTTAGTTAAATTGCTTGGTACTCTTTCCCCGGCTTCTCTTTACTAGCTCAGTTCCTGTCTCAGTGTATTTCCTCAGTTAATATTTAACAATTTTTTTTACTGTGATGCCGTTTTAGTTTTTAAAACACAATCAATCTTAACTCGCAGAAACTGAAGAAAAAAAAACAAAAAAACAAAAAAACAAGCAAAAACACAGACAGAAATTTCTTCGCTTTCTAACCCAGTATCATTAAGATTCAAGGAAAAAATTAAAACAAAGAAAGAAATTTGCATTTATATCAAAAATCCTTGCAACATAAATGACTTTTTCAGTCCTACGTACCTTAGTGAGTAATCTTCTCGTACTCCAGAGAAAGACCTGCTGATGAAATGACTAGTACTTGGTCTGTATATATGGGTTTTATTTTCTCTGCCAACGTTAACGCGCAACTACACCTTTTGCTGTTCATTAACAGAAAATTTACATTCATTTGTGCCAATAGTTGTATCAATAACGTGTATAATGTACTTTCATCAACAGGGTCGCGGTAAAAAGCTGAAACGGAAACAGCTGAAAGAGCTGAAAAGTGCAGAAAAGCGCAGAACTTCTTATTATCATAGATAATAATCAGTRGACAAATATTATGAAAGATGATATAATATAAATAATGTCAAACTAAACAAAAATGAAAAAAATTTTAACTGCAGAGATACCAGCCAATGGACCGACCAGCAAGGTCAATGTCACGCATTCTCTTTACCAAAAAATAAAATTTCTACATAGTATTAGAATATGAATAAAATTAAATAAAGCCCATGCACAGAGATTTCTTATTAAGCCTTCTATCGTGCTGCTCAGATTTTGATCCTGGGTAGAAGAGCTTCAGTGCCGGACCGCTTGGTGAATGGTCAGCTTTGAAAATATTTCTTTGATACTGAACAGCCACTAAGAAGTCCAATTTTATATTGTGATGTTGATCAAGTTACTTTTTCTGGAAGACCAAGCACCTTTTCTTAGCAACGGACTGCCCATTGGTCAACATAACGTCGCTCGCCTACTGCGAAGACAGTTTAAAGCCATGTCATTATACTGGACTCTTTCACGGAACATATTTTTTACATAAAATGGCACTGCCTTCACCTTCTACATTCGCCGTTTTCAAAAAAACTGGTTGCTTATTTAAATGGAAGGTATTTTGACATGTGTACATGTCGTAAGTATTTTAGTTGACGTACAAAACCCTTTGCATGATGAAGTTAGGCACCTCAAATGCCACAGTCCCTTTCAATAGCTTCGTTTATTCTCTAGCTTTACTTTTATTTTTGTCTTCAAATTCTCAAAGAAAGGAGGTTTGACATTTGTATATAAAAAGATAATTTGAAAAGGATTGTGGTACTATAGGTATGAACCGTCATCATACGGCCATGCAGGCAGCTGGTCGCGGTCTCAAATAGGCAAAATCTTTGGCTATCCAAACTTTGGCCAATTTTTATGAAAAAGCCGAATCAACCGCTAAATCTTTGTTTAGAATGTCAGACCCTTCTCGGGAACGAAATAATAATAATAATAATAATAATAATAATAATAATAATNATGATGATGATGATGATATTTATTTAGAGACGATATTATATTTACAGCATTGTTGATGTGGTCGTGTGTTTTGTTTTGTTTTACTTTTTTTAGTTTTGTCTTTGTTTTTATTGTTTTGGTTTTTTTTCTACAAAGAAACTACTAAAATCGTGATACTTAGTGTACCGAAGACTGAAAAAGAATCTTCCAAATTGTCGCCATCGATAATTTCACCGCGACCCTTCATCAACGCCACAAGTAACATCATTAGCGCGGATCAACTTTCAATAACGATAATTGAATATGCGTGTACATTCATAGGCATCAATGGACAATCAATAGCGCGTTCGTACATTCATATGCGCGGAATGTATTTTCTTGGGCGCGAAATTCAACTTCAATAACACCAATTGACAAACAATTGCATTTAAGCATAACATTGACAATCTACAACGCGTTTGGACAATCATAAGCATCAATGTAGCATTCTTTAACGTGGTTCGACAACCATTTGCATGATTCAAATAAACATTAAGAGAAAAAAATTAAATAATTGAATTCAAAAAAATTCCTATGACTAAACCTTATTAAATATCTAAAAACTTCAAATTATAGAAATAAATTTTGGCATGTATTATTACTAGCGGTATCGAGCATTTCAACTCTGAGAGGGAGGTTGTATTTAATTGCTCAGTACCCACCTACTGAATCAAGAAAATCAGTTACCCATTTTGGTCCATTGTTTTGGCCTTGTCCCTTGTCATCACTATCATCTTCTTTTACATCATCCATCATTGTTATCATTTTCATTATCATCATCATCATCATTATCATCACTGAATCATCATCCTTTCCATCGTCACCTCATCGTCAACGGTATCATCATATCCTCCTAATCTTCATCATCACCAACACCATCGTATCAACAACAATTTCATTTCATTTGTACCAGGCTAGAAACATATCGAAAACATATCCCAATTGCGGATCCAAGGGAAAAGGAGGTGGGTGGATTGGAATTGGGTGACTAGCCACCCATCTTTGGCGGTAGGGAAGGAGAGGAAAGAGGAATGGAAGGGGGGTGGAAGGGAGTGGCAGGGGAGAGGGAGGGGTAAAGGTAATTAATTGAGAACATGGGTGCTTACCATTGAAGTAATCCACTTTTCCCGCTCTTTTAGGTTCGTCTRACTTGTATCAGTTGTCGGAAATGAAAGTTTCCCGCTCTTTTCTTACCATAAGCAAACGAATTTCCGAGTCCAGTTACCCGCCTTGCCTCACTCCTGCGGCACTGCATGGTATTTGCCACAATAAGGTGCTTTTGCACGAACTTAACCGACAATTTTAATCGATTTTGACAACAATCAGTATTTACTGATAATATATACTGATTTTTTCCCCACTTCTGTGGTAATGTTGAAATGAGTGTTTTCCAAGTCCCATAATATTTTACATATGTATGTGCAGAACGAGTCCAGTAGGGGTAGGGGTAGGGGTTAATGCCAGAGAGAAGAGGGTCGCAACATCCCTGCCATCAATCGCATTCCTAGTTGTAAACATTAATCATATGCTTACATCTTATTCTTACGCAGAGTAGAAGTTATTCAAATCTGGACGGTCAGGAGCAACAAAGCCATTCAATGTAGTTTCATATCGATAATTTGATAAATGATTTAACTTGAGCGGTCGGGTTTTGAGTCACATGCATGAACATAAAACCTTCCATAAGTGTCGTTCTGTTATTGCATGATATGCCAAAATATTGATATGACAAAATTCAGTGCAGAATCAATTGAGTAAGTGATCAAATTAAGTGGTGCAGTCAGTCGTTCTTTTGAAGTATTGCATGAGCGTGCAAAATCGATTTTGATATAATAAAATTCAGTACAGAATGTAATTAAATAACAGACAGCATTGTCGTATACTTTGAGTGTTGAACAAGGTCGTGGTATCGACTGATTCTTAATATAATTGAAGGAGAAAACCTGGAACTGAAGTCATGAAGAGTGAGCCAAGTGAGAGGTCAGAGTGCTTGCTGGATGCTGCCGATCCCAACAACCTAATATTACATGTAATATCGACCTAAGAACACTGATTTGAACAAGTCCACAACTTCACACCACTCGACTTCTTGGTCTTCAAGGTTGACCAACCTATGAAATTGCCTTCTTCGAATTCGTTGGGACATTTTTTGGCAAGGGCTGAAACTTCCTGGGCATTTAGTACCCTGTCCCACATGTTGACACTTGAAAGGTTGCCTTGGAAACTTTGGCTCGCCTGAAATCCTCCTTTGTAGCTATCCTGCTCTTGTCCAAGCAACAGCGCTCCCTTTTGAATAACGTGGCCTTGGTGCATGGACGTCTTGACACCCAATTTCTTTACTCCATCGATGTAGAATTTGTACGTACCGTCAAGGTTTTGCCATGTTGCACAGAGGTGATGCCATTTGCCATCAATCGCTGAAGGGTAACCCGTTCTAGATAAAAATACAGTTTACTTATATAAAGTTAATGTATCATTATATATATATACGGTACGTACATATATATATATATATATATATATATATATATCTTTATGTATCATTTTATCTTTCAAAAGAATTAAGGGAAAGAACTATAGCTAGTGATACGCCATTCGTGAGTTCAATGGGTAAAATCTTTCATCTTTACTTGACCCTTTTGTTTTAGAGTCCACTGCAAACAACGTGTAACTTTTTCGAGGAGTAATATCTTATTCTTTGTCTGTACCATTCAGACTTGAAAAGATGATTAATACCCACTGTTTTCGACATTAGCTATGCGCTGATCAGAGTCTGTAAAAGTGTCTTAAAACTTCTTTGATTGACGGCACCAAGTGTACTTGGCCTGATTTCGCCTCATGTAAGGGAATCCGGAATCCAAATTTTAGGCTTTGGAATCCGGAATCCAGCACTCTGGAATCCAGAATCCAGGCCTTGGAATTCGGAATCCAGTTTATAATGTAATCCGGAATCCACCCTTTTGGAATCCGGAATCCTCTACTTTGAAATTCAAAGTCTACACTCAAATGCTATCGCCTCGACCTAGACTGAACCAGGGACACCTCCCTAGTTATACTGGCAAGTATATCAAATATTATTTTCAGAGAAAGTATCTGAAAATTAACGATATGGAATCCGGGATCCGCAATACAAAAGTTTTGGAATCCGGAATCCAGATCCTTGGAACCCGTAATCCAGAGTCTCGGGATCCAGAATCTAGCGCTTGGAATCTGGAATCCACCATAAGTCCGGATTCCCTTACAATGGGCGACTGATTTCCTTGTCGTCATTGTTGTCTCGATCAGCGAATAGCAATGAAAAATGGTAAAACTGATATATAGACACATGTGAATCAAGCAACTATCCCAAGAAAGATTATGAAATAATGGGAAAGCATTACACACAAAGTGAAATTATGTACTGTGAGACAAGCCCTCCTCCTTGTCTACTTACTCAAAGGTGTTGGTAATACCCAGTTCTGTGTACCCCTTGGTTAAATAAACACTGATTTCGTTTGGTTGACTGACTGTGGCATAACCGAACGGTGTAAGGTTATCTGTGTTTGGATCTGCTTGTACCCACATGCTGATCGTAAATGCTGTAAGTTGGACGTCAGCCTGAAGCTCATGCTCAACTTTATCCTCGACACTTTTCCTCGGGAATAACAAGACTTCCTTTACATCTGAATAGATTTAAAGACAAAAGTGATATGTTGAGCACGATGTTTGGGCACGTATGCGCCGGTCATGATTTACAAAAAAAAGGTGCCTTGGGTCTTGCCGTTCAGTTTCTATATTCATGGGCGTATCCTATCCAGGTGATTGTTACGTGAAAGTATTTTGGAGGAAGAGAGAGGTGTTTTTTTTGAGCCGGATTGCATGGGGAGTGTACTCCCCTACCGTCGGGAAATCCTGGCGCAGCCTCTGACGGTCCATTAGAGACCGTTATCACGATGTTCCTGCTGGCCCCGCAAACCTCAAACTACAGTTCGACGTCAGGCGTTTTTCGCTAAACTTTCGACATTTAGCAAGGCGCCATTACGAAGTTGTTGCTGGAAGAGTGGTTATATTGAATTTCATTGATGCCGAGTGTTTCTCCGTGTTTGCGGGGCTACTTCTGCACCTAATCCCGAGCAGTTAGCGGTTAGTGGCTAGGGATAAACGCGATGTCTAAGTAGTGTACTACTTTGATAATGTGATGACGAAATTTATCGTCAATAAGAGAAAATACACATAAAAAACTGATGTCAATTTGTTTTTTACAATAACAAAAACGATAAAACTTCTTGTCTTTAGTGATCAAAACAATCAAAGGAAAAAGCGCACGCTCGTTGAGGTCCGCTTATCTGTCTGCCCTCTTATTGGTGATAAAAAATCACCAATCAGCGCGCGAGAAATTTGAAAGTTATCGTATTCACCATTTCAAATATTAAATAATGACAGCGTCAAGAAAGAAAGAGAATTACTTCATAAAAAGTCATTATTTGTGATCCGGGAAAAGAAACACAGCGAGCAGTATTTTTGAAGAACACAAGCATCTATTACGTTTACCTTCACATAGAACACACTTGTGGCTTTGCTCGTTATTGTCGACCTTACACACGAGAGGATAGGAGCACAGTTTGTTACTGCATATCGGCACAGCCCGTAAAATGTGATTCAAGTAATGACAGCCAGCCGAGTAGACCAGACTTTCGGGGTTAGTCAAGTGATTAGCGTTATTCAGCTCACAGATCCCTTGACTGAAGCAGTAGTTAATGCTGTAGCGATCTGCATGCAGTCCACACTTTTCTGTACACTGGAGGCTTGTTGTCACCGCAGAATAGGTTTTGATCACGTGACCCTGGATTTTGTGATAGAACTGAGAGTATGCTGTTGCCTTACAAGACTGTGCGTGTCCATGTTTCCATAGCGARAGGAGAATGACTGGTACGAGTATCTCCATTCTTAAAAGTTTGCTTTTATCCCTTCGAATCTATAGGAAAGCAAAACAATAAAGACTGAGATCAAAAAAGGTGCCGTGTACCACAGGGAGACCAATTTATTTTTAAAGCCACATGAATCTGTGTATGCAGTTGCTCCAGTTTATGCAGTGGCTCCATTAGTATTTTTCCAACAATTAATAAGGCAGCCGATAAGATAATGTTACCATAATAACTATAAATATTTTCGAGTCAAAAAATGCTGCGTTCTGATTGGATGAGCTACTACTTGGCTATACGTTTTATCCTACTAGTAGCGAAAAGTACGGACTCTGAAAACCAAAACATTAAATTTAACTTCAATCCAAAACTTGTTTGTCTTTGGCCAGATGGGCTATTGACTCATAATAGTCCACTCGGGCTCATGGGGTAATTGCTAAATATATGTTGCAAAATCTCATATATTTTCTATACGGTCATGTGCGCCGCTGGATAGGGGATGGTTTATGAGCTTCTTGGGTCTTTTTAGATAAGCATTTCATCTCAATTAAATTGTCTTGAATACGTTATGAATTTTCAATAAATCCCTGTTTTTACTAAATAAAGCAGGGTTTTGGGGCTCCAGCGCGGAATTAGATTTACGTGTTACTTTTCAACAGACAGAAACTTAATTACGCTTACGCTCTAGATTTGCGGATTGGAGGCCGAAACAGAAAATTACAGTCCATGATCTTTGCCTGAAAGTGGCCTAAACAACCTATTTTGCATCCTTCATAAATAATGTACGTAGTTTCAAAAGGTGAGAAAATCGATCAAAAGCTTTTGCCTGAAAATAGCCTACTAATAAGACCGTTATCTCAAGGTTGCGTGTGCATCCAACTTGACGGACCAAAAAATTGAAAAACGCAAATTTAGTAAAATTGAGAAGTCAGTTTCATATTTAAAGAGGTAATCAATTGTATGAATCCTTGTCGAAAAATCTTATAGAAATGTATGATAGTTCTCATTATGAAGCTCCTGTTCTGGTATCGTGGCCCGTCAGGTGCCTTAAATATCGATGCGCACGCAACCTTGAGAAAACGGTCTATTCGTGTTTTACATCCTTCATAAATGATGTATGTAGTAAGCTTTTCTAATATTATGAAGGCAAAGAAATCTCTTTTCAGGAATTGGTTTTTTTGAAAGAATATACAAATTATGGAACGCTTTGCCTATAGAATTAAAATGTGAATCATGTAAATTCATTTAAGGTGGCTCGCGCCTATTTCACACTAACAAAACTACAAATCTAATTACGACTTTTACCGAGGAAACTGCTCCCGATTTCCCCACCTTTTTGAGACATGATAAAAGGATATTTGAACGCTATATTTAAGGAGAATTGATATTGAAAAGTTTGAGCGATTTAATAAAATAAGCATTTCCGAGCGAGGTCATTAACACGACAAATCTTTCCTTATCCCTGTTAAAGACAAGGAAAATATAGAAGAGATAACTAGGTAAAAACTAGTGTGAGCTGCGTCGGTGTTTCTAATGAAATAGTAATGATAAAAAGGTAAATTATACACCTTGAAAAGATGAAAAAAACTTACTGACGTTTCGGACGCTAGTCCTACGTCGGTGTAAAAGAGCAAAGAAAAGGAAAAAATATATGTTTTCGTTTTCAATAAAAAAATTACTAAATCGTTCTAGTTTACATTCATAACAACTGAACACGATTGAGACCTTGGAAGTCGTTTGATAAGTGAAGACTACAATGTGTAGTACAAATACCTGTGCGTACGACAGAGTCAGATATGATCAAGACCAATACGGTTTCATTATCCTAATCTTACCTGTAAAACCGAAAAACAGACCTGGATATCCAAAGAAGCTCCAACAGAAGAACCAAGACTGATGGAATCCGCAGCGGAGTGAAGCGGTTTATCTTGCATTCACTATGAAGTAAAAACGAACTTTAAGACAAGTAGTGATCTTCTATGGGAAGAACTATAGCTATTGATTAARACAAGGAGGTACGATTAAGCTAATAAAGTTTTTAGATAAATTGGATCGCCGTAAAAAGTTATGGACCAAATATTGCTAAGCAGGCTCATATTCCATAACATTGACATCTCCTCATAAATATTTGAATACCTAACGGGACAGATTGCCTCTTGTAATAAAAACAACTAAAGAAAGAGAAATAACAAAAAACGTCTGGCACCCAGGGTATCCCTAACGACACTTGTTTGTTATAAATGCCGCAAAATCAACAGTAATGTAACTAGCTTGGAAACAGCCCTTTGAAATTTGCTTAATCCAACCTCCCTTGCCTTAATATTTCTTCCCTCTCAGTCGCGACATTCAGTAATGCCATTAACAGAAATTTAAGTTTTGCTTTCATTATATTTCCCAATTTGATTATTTACATTTTTTCTAGGGGCTTAGATTGATACGCCCTATAGGCGACTTCATGTTCTATTCAATTATCACCTGCTTTTCGCAAATTGTTTAAATAAAATAAAAATAGAAAGTTTGAAAAAAAGAAAGTGAAAAATAGCCCAAAAATATGGCTCACATCAAATTTTAGTTGACCCAGTATTTTTGAATATCAAATCCGACTGCGATTTCTTTCATTTTTCCCCCCAGTACTCCAAAGTGATTTAGCAACACCTTTTACGTCTTGGCATTATTGAATGAAGAAACACTTATCAAACTTTTCCCCAATTCTTTACAGTTGTTAATAGTTAACTCGTGGATAAAAACAATCATCAAGATCTTAACATCTGATAATCATCTCTGTATATTCAACTGCAATATCTGCTTATTCATTAATTATTTTTTCTTTACTTTTTACTTATTTCATATTCAGTTTTTTCTCTGCGTGTATTCATTACTAAGACTTTGTTATTTCTTAAACTTTATTATTGTTATCACCTTGTAAATTATTTGCCGAAACTACAGTGATTCCATAATTTTCTATAGTACGTACCTTAGTAAGTACAGACAGATTAGGATTCCAGTTTTTCCTTTCCTCGAATTACGGCGAACGTCACCACGTTTTTATCGTTTCCCTGGCATTTCACTTAACCTTTTACAAACCTTCTCACCAAAGACAAATATTCTTATTTTTATCTACGATTTGGGTATTTTTTTCGATTCCTTTTCACTAAATTTAAAGAATCTTCAGCAGCAGTAAGGGGGACTCGCGAAGTCCCCAGGAACCTATGTCATTTTCACAGGGATTACCCGTGTTAGCGCCTATAGGAAACTTTTTGGCGGCATGGAAATAACCCGTGTGAAGTAGGTGCGTTACACTGTTTGCTTTCTGGGTACCGCAAACGGAGGTTAAGATATTTCATAGATATAGATGGACACCATCACGAGCATTCGTAACAAAACTGTGCGCCGACTGCGAACTCAGGTGTTGGATCGCCTGGATGTGGACTTTGCCTTC